ACTCCTGTAAGCTCTCTAATCTTTTAATTAGCATTTTTATAATTACAACAATACATTCAAGCTTTACAGTTCGTGAAATATTTGTAAATCTCTGTATGATCTCTTTACATTCATTATAAACAAGGGTTATATTGCATTCATGAAGCCGAATAGACAAATTATATAAACAGAAATACTCTACTACTTCTTTTATAAGCATATTGCATTCTACTATTAATTCTTTTATACACTTACATGAAGATTTTTTAAAAAAAGAATTGTCTTCAATATTTCTTATTTGACATTTAATACTTGCAATTAAATCTACTTTTCTTGAGTGATAAGCCTTTTTAATGCACGATAACTTAGAGATAACTTTTTTGTCACTATTTTTAATAAACGAAATTTCTTTTGGAATCAAAATTGGTTCTTTTTTAGCTTCGTCAAATGCAGATTTATAATGACTTAAAGCCTCTCTACAAAAATTCAAAAATAAATCTAAATTTGCCAATTGGTGATTATTAAATTGTATTGTTTCGTTTTGAAATACAGAATTGTAGATTAATTTTTTTCTATGAATTAGATACTTATTAAATTTTTTAGCATATAAACCATAAAGCTTAATAAATAAGTCTTTTTTATCTTTATATACTATAGTCTCGTCACATTTTATATTATAATTTTGATTATCATTTTTATCTTTTATTGCCTTATCAGGGTTTAATACTTCATCATATTGGTTTCGGAATTCAAAATCGTTAAATGGATAACTATAGTACATATTCGAATTATTTTGAAAAATTTCTCCAGAATGGCTTGCATTTTCAGAAGTTATACATTTAATATTATCATCTAATTTAAGTTTTTTTTGAACCGGACTCTCAAAATTTTCATTATTCGTAACATTGTTATTATCTTGAAAACACTGAGAATTTATTGTATCAAAAATGAGATTATCTAATACAGAACTTTGTGTATTTTTAGTCTGTAATTCTTTCTCTAAATCCAAAGCATCATCAATTATCCTTCCCAGCTCAAAGTTTTCTTGTTCTGAAAATTGATTTGTGTTATTGTTTACATTTGAAATATGATTACATTGTTTTTTTCTTTTTGCAATATAAAAATCATTCATATTACTTGTAACAGATTCCGTAGTACATATTAATCTATTATTTGTCGAGGTATATATTCCTGTTAAAAAGAAAAAGAATTTGAACATTTTATGGGATATATTTTAAAATTTATATATTTTAATAAACTTTAACAAAAAGCTTTAAATTAAACTGATAAAAATTTAAATAGCTTTTTTAAAATATAATAATGGAATGAACGTTTATGATTTATAAAAATAATCTTTATGTTATGATGCAATCTAACATATGATTTATCAGTAAATATGTATATGT